TGTGGCACTACAAAATCAGTTTCCCCACATTCTTATAAAGTTTAAAATAATCCATGTAAAGAAATACATGACTATACAGTAGAACCTGAAATATTATGAATAACTGAAATCTAGAATTCAGTTTCCTTTAATTTTGGGTAAAAGTCTCTTCAGTGATTTCCCCCCCCTTTTCAAAAGAGAAAAATTCCCTCTATTAGAATTCAAATTTCTTAAACTGCTAACATAGTTATTTTAAAGTATTAATAATTTATTAAGTGATATTTTAAACACTACAAGAACACATTTAATCTCCACAATCCAGTTAATCGTTCATTTTTACAGGAATGGGGTACACCACATAGACTGTCATTTGATTTCTCTTTTTTCAAATTTTGAGGTATAAGCAAATTTGTAAGAAAAATGTCCTCTCCTTTTAGAATATATAACAGAAAGAAACAGACAAGAATAAAACAGAACAAGCAAAAAAATGGAGTAAAAATAGTCATGTGAGAAAAGATGAAAATGTTAAAGGAGAAGTAGCTGCAATTAGAAGAAAACCCGAAAAAAAAAAAAAGACAATTTATAGTAAGTGAAAAGAGAAAGGGTATCTGATTTTAGACCATAGAATGGTACTGATTCCACTCAGTGAGGTACGGAAACTGATCATCACTGCCAAGTCCAGGGAATAAGTGGCAAAAAATCCTCTCCTGTTCTGAAGGTGAGGAAATCAGAGGGTGAGAATGGAGCAAAAGGGGAGAGGCTACAGTGTGAATAAAAATGAGGGAGACACTTTTGTAAAAATTTTCAGATGACTGAATCTGTGCCCTTGCTTAACCCCATTCCCACTGCTATCACCTACTCATCTTGCTCAATGTTTAACATTTTTAGCAGTAATAACAATCTCTAGGTTACAGTACTCATTTTCCATCTCTTGCTAATCAGTGATCATCACACTGACCACTTGTCACCATCTATCTTTTCCTAGACTGTCCAAACCTGGTTATTTTTTTTCTCTTTCAACAGCCTTGCTAGCCATATCAACTGAATCATTTCATGCCCCAGTGTAGTCACCAGGTTCCAAAAGACCTTTCAAAAATAATAGCCAATATGCTTTATATTTATACAAAATTAAAGGACAAATTTCAGAATGCTGTGTTCGACCATCATGTGTGCCATTCTTTTCAATGGACAATTCTAAGGAGATAAGTATCTGGTTTTAATATGGATGGAATCTCCTACCCAAGACATGAAACATGAAAATTAACAGATTCGTTAGGAATATGCCAAAATAGCTTTAATTACTATAAATAGTCCTGTGAGGTTAAAAAAGAAAGAAAGAAAAAAGAAAACATGCATCATGAAGGAAGAGTTGCTGATTCAAGCTATGCAGAGATATCTCCCTGAGAGAGGAGTGTAGCGGCAGATGAAGTGGAAAAACTCTTGGGAGAGTCCAGCAGCCTGTGAGGAGATGGATCTTCAGTGGTGGGGAAGACAAGCAATAAGACTCAATCTGCTTTGCTTGGATGGTCATGATTTTTCCTTCTTCCTACCTGGCAGTCACGGTTTCTCGGCCACAGAAGTAGGTTGGGTAGATAAGTTAAAAGCCATGTATAACTTTAAAAAAATAGCAACATGAAAATGGGCATAAAACTTCCAGTTTCGTTTCAAATAAAAATATGTTTTAAAAAGCAAACTAGGAACACACACGTCTAACTGGACATCTTGAAGATATACCACATAGTAATTTCAAAAATAATAATTGAATTAATCTGTGATTCATTCAACTTTGTTAGACACTTAGGGGGAACTTTCAAGCAACTTCTCTATGTTGTAAGTTTTTATGTTGTACATAATTACCTGTAAAAGGTATCCTTAAGTATACTTAAGCAGTAGGAAATTTTACAATCATAGAAAAACGCAAACTGGGCTAATATCATCTAAATGAATAAGATTTTAACATTGCTTTTCTCATTATTGACACTAAATTGATTTTTCATAAAATTAGAAATAAATAAGCATCATGGTCAATTATCTCATGGATTAGAGAACTAATATGAACTGTAGATTTTAAGTATAACTAGGCCATACTTTAACGGAGCTTATTATTACATCATGACCAATCCATAAGGTCCATGGTAGTAAAAGCAAGAATAGGAAGGGTCCTTGAATATCACAAATACTTTACACTTGTTTCCACTAATGTATCTACCTAGCAACCCTTTCCTAGAAACATATGCCAGATAATTTGCATTTCATCACCTCTGTCTATTGTGTAGTAAGAATTTGGAAGCATTGTAAATACCACAGCACAGGCAACATCTAGAAACACAAAGTAAGTTGCATTCAACAAAACACCTTTCCCCGGACTCCCAGAAATATTCCACTTGATCGAACCCAAAAGAGAGTATCTAGTCATTGAGAGAATTAGTAAGCAAAGCTACTGTCATAGAATTCAACATATTTTTCTAGAATGAGAGAATGCCTCTAGAATAAAGGAAAATCAATGTGCAAGCACTATAAGCTGTTAATCGAGAAGTGGACTCAGGTTGACCCAGTGTTCTAATATGTAAAGGGAGGGAAGAAAGGTGGGAACATTCTTTTTCATTGAACCCCTAATGTGTGCCCCACACTGTGAGAGGTGTGTAACATATGTAGTCTATCTGAGGGGAAAGAATAGAAGTGGTAGTAAAATTACATTTCAAATTCACTTCTAACGTTACTTCTCGCTTCTTCTCTCTTACCTTGAGGTTCACTAGTCTCTCACTAAATCTTGAGATTTATTTACATGCTTACTAGAATCTTTCTCCCTTTTGTTTGATCATTTTGCAATTTTAGTTTGGGAAAGCAATGTACTAAAACTGAAGTAAGGATATGGGCCTTAGATTCAGACTGCCTCAAGTTGTGGGTAAATTAAATAAGCATTAGCACCCTCAATTTCCAAAAAATATTTACTTTTTAGGATTATTGTAAAATATGAATGAAATAAAATATGTAGTGCATGGCACAGAGCAAGAACTCAGCAAGTGTTGACTATTGTTATTATAATTATGAAACAAGTAAACTGGAGCTCAATTAATTAGTTACCACAACTCACTGAGAACCCTAAGTCAATTTCAGGAGCAAAAACCGGAACCCACTTTCCTCAGCCGTCATTCTGTATAACTGTCATTATTTTAGACTATTCCTATGATGAAAAAATATACATACACACTCTTATCCTACTTAAATCTTACCTACCGATACAGATTCCATCACTTTACTTCTAAGCCTGGGGACATAATCATATCCATTTGATGACCATCAGACCTTTGTTCTACAGACTATTCCCCTTAAACGTTTTTTTAAATGTTGTTGTTGCTTTCCCCTTAGATATTATTTTCTACCCTCAGAATCAAGTAAGTGGAAACTCATGCAGGAACTATCCACCACATGTCATATTTGTTAAGGTCACATTTCAGAAATGGAGGCAGTGTGAACATTAGAAGAGGGAAAAACTGCCAATATATTGAAGCAGCTGCTTTATCCCATAGCCCAAATCCTCATCCTAGGGGAAAAGAAACTTCAGTCAGGACAACCACTTTGCATAGTTTCAAGTAATGAGAACTTCCTAGTCATCAACACATTCACAGTATGGAAAAGCTTTGTCTCCAACCAATATATTCTATATTATCTAGTGTCTTAATCCCACAAACTTAAGCTTTCGTTTAGATAATGAACTTATTGAACAAGCATAGTGTGATTATCAGGGTTCAGGAGCCTTTCCAAAATATCACAAACTTCTCAGTTCATTCGAAGGCAAAATTAAAATAAGTCCCTTTGCCTTGAAATCAGAATCATTGAGGAAAATCAGTCTTTTAACACAAGTCTTCTTTATCTACAAAATATAGTTTTCTTTCTAAGTTTCTTTTACCACTAAGACATAAAATAATAAACTTAGTTAAAGGGTTGCAATGAGAATTTTGTACTCTGAGAGTTAGTGAGCTACAAGTAGAATATTTATCAAAAAATTCAAATGAAGATATTTATATTAATAATAATCTGATTTCTAAAACAATACACATTATTTTGGCAGAAAAAAAGTAGAGCAAAGTGAATCAACTGAGGCACAGAAAATAGTAAGAAATGAAAATAATGTAACATTCATTTTCTAAATTTAGGATTAAGAGAATCCTTGAAAATTTGCAAAAGTCACAGAATGCCACTGTCATTCTTAGCTAAATAAAGTCATGAAGTTCATAATCTACTCACTGCCCTCAAATTGACTCTGACTCACAGTGACCACTTAGGACAGAGTAGAACTGCCTTCTTAGCGTTTCCACTCTATAATGTTTATAGAAGTAGACTGCCATATCTTCTTCCTGCAGAATAGCTGGTGGGTTTGAGCTCCTGACCTTTTGGTTAGCAGTGTAGCTATTTAGCCAATGGACCACCAGAACTCCTTATTACAACATTTTATTAATTTATTTAATTAATGCAATCATTTTTCAATTAAAACTAGAGTCAAGAGCTCTTCTAAGAAACGAGGACACAATTCAGCTACTAAAGCTTAAAAATTTCAAAGAAATCTATACTTAAAAGGAAAAAATAAAAAAACCTAGGCAGGTGTTTTAAGTAACAAATCAATCCTAAAGTAAGTAAATCAAAGTAAATGATTATAAAGCCTATTTCCCAGGAAATTAAACTTAGAAAAATTAAACTTACAACAGTTATATCAAGAAAATATCAAATTTATATGCATCACCACTTTAATTTTTATCAAAAATTACTCTCTCAGTTCATTTGGTGTATGATGTTATCCTACACCTGTCCACATAGTATTGTATGCTTGACTGAAACCACCACCGATAATTCATGTTCTTTTAGAACCATGGCTACATTACATCAAAGAATGAGGGATAGCTTTTCAGTGATTTCCTCAATTATTTTACACTCAGACAACTTCATTTCATTAGTATTTTGTAAAACCTTAGAAAATCTTTAACTTAGTTCTTCCCACTGACTCTTAAGGTAATTATACATACCACAGTCTGATGATTAACTTGAATCACTTCATCGCCAGCATGGATTTTCTTACACCGATCTGCAGGTGACTGAATTTAATATGAAAGAAATAATAAAGGACGTAATTTTATGAGTTATTTTCTCTCTCTGGCAAAACAATAAGGTAATCCCTTTAAACTAGACCAACTTTTTAATTATTGTCTTCCAGGAATTAAACTAATAAAAATTGTTACCAGTATTTAATATGTTATTTGTATTCTGTATTATGACAGGAAATAAATGATAATACTAACTTAATGATAATTTTAACTTTTGTAAAAGTTATGCAGACAACCCTGCTAGGTTCTACTGGTGAATGGCTTCAACATACATTTTAAAAGATTACCTTTTATATACTTTTTGATCTTTCTACTTAATATACATAATTTGCATAAATCTATAAGCTTACATCATCAGCATAAATATGTTGAAGACTAACAATTAAGTTGCTAACTTTTTCATCACAAATAATGTCAATGCTGAATAAGTTAGTAAAGCAAAATAAAGATAGATAGAAAGTAGCCCCAAACTGATATTCTCTCTCTAAATATCTAACTGTACGATGAGCAATTTCTATGTTTTATATAATATGATACATTGGCAAACAAACCACATGCAATGTATTAAAATTAAAATGCTAATGCTTCTATAGGATATAATAAACCCATCACTTTTTTCTTTATTCTCATAAGAGATTTATAAAGCAAACAATAAAAGTAATTTCTAGTCATCTATTTTTCATTTACCTCCAATTTCTAATGAGGAAATCTTAAAACAACTTAACCTTAATTCAATAAATATAGGTTTGATGAGTTGTTTAATAAGTTATTGAATACAAAAATGATCATCTGATGTACATACCATTACCTAATTTACAATGAAATGTTTTAAAACTTAATGTTAAAATTATCTGCCATAAAGAAGAATTCAAGCTAAGACATCTCACAAAGTTACAGTCTGTGAAGTAATAACACAAGCATACTACTAAGGACTAGATTCAGCTAAGGATGAAACCCTAAAGATGACAAGAAAAAATGTATTTGTTCCATAGACCTTCATTAGTAAAAGAGATAAATACCATGTAACAACCCTGAAAAGATAGTTAGCACTATAGAGTCTGTCCCTATGTCATCTGATTCACAACTGATCATTTTTAAGGAAAGCATACAGAAGAAATTTCAAGCAAATGGTCCTGGTTTGATAGAAAATAGCATTTGTAACACATAAGTTAAAATGAAAATAAGTCACATAAATTGTAGACTTTCAGAGTGAAGAAAGATACTACAGATCATTGTGTGTAAATTTCTCATTTTACATATGAGAAAAATAAGAAATAGGAGAGTGAAATAACTGTACCACTTTAGTGAGCAGGTTTACTAAGACTGAACATATCTCCTATTTATAAATGACTAAGCATGCCAAAATCTCTAAAAATTTTTCAAGAAAAAACAAATATTACGAAATTCATAAGAGCAAAGCATAGAATACGCAATGCTTTTTCACATATCCCACACAAAAGACATATTTTCCTATCAAGTCTTCAAGATGTATTTCAATTCATCATTTTTTCCCTGATTCTTTCTGATTTCCCTTGGTGGCATTTACTAATTTTTCCTTTGGTCAAAAGATTTCACTACCTGTTTACAAAGATAAATTCAGACTTAGGGTAGCAAATGTAGCATTAAAAAAATATTTTATCGCCTGGGCCCCTGCCTGGAGCCTAGCTGACGTGCAAAAGAAGTTTGTATTAGATGGACAGTGGGCCCCTACACAAGTACTCCCCCAACACAAGAACACTTTGTTCTAACAATTTGGCAGTCTGAGATGCTCACCTACCTGACATGATCGCTGAAGACAATGGGTGCACAAGAAAATGTGGTGAAGACAGCGGATGATGCTTGGCTACCAAAAGATGTAACACCTGAAGTCACTGAACACAATGGGTGCACAAGCAGGTGTGGTGAAGAAAGCTGATGGTGCTCAGCTACCAAAATATATAGCACCTGAAGCCTTAAAGACCTGAAGATAAACAAGCACCAGCTAGCTGAGAGACAACAAAACCCACACGGAAGAAGCACACCAGCCTACCCCTGCTCGATCGCTGA